ATAAAACAATTTGCTTACTCACAAAATAAAGATTTTATTGAAGAGAATTTGAATTTTGATTTATGGTGTGAATTGTATGAGTTGAATGAATTTGTTGGTGAAATCAAATTTTCCCACAAAAGATTTGTCCATACACCAAACTTCAAAGCCTAGAGCGGGCGTCCATCAAAAAGTCCAACGTATCCGTCCGTCGCTATAATTTTATTCTATTCTTTTTTCTTTTTTTTTCAAATTTCAAATTTCAAAACAACTCTTCTTCCAACCTCTAAAGCCACCTTTCCCTTTCCAACGGTCTTCTAATTATCCAAATTCATCTCTCTTCTCCTCCTCTCTGTCTTGAGTTTTCTGCTTTGTTTCTGCAAACAACTAAATATTTTCCTTTAGCAAAGCTTCATTTTTATTATAAAAAAAAAAATTTGTGAAATGGGTGCTCCTGGAAAATGGTTTAAGTCGCTAATTACTTCGAAACCACCGCAGTCTCTCAATAATCAGGTAATGTTTTTAGTTACACAACTCGAAACAGAGATTCCTCCTTTTTCTATCCTTTCATTTTTCTTCAATTGGTGTTTCAGGAGAAGACCGGAGACAAGGGCAAGAAGAAATGGAGGCTGTGGCGGAGCTCCTCGGATGGGCTCGGATCCTCCGCTTCCAAGGGCCACAAGATGGGCCTGTTGGGTGGATCAGAAGCGTCCCATTCCTCTTTTGGGGTGGATGATGATTTTGCTGCAGCCATGGCTACCCTGATCCGGGCTCCCCCAAAAGATTTCTTGGTGGTTAGACTAGAATGGGCCGCCATCCGAATTCAATCAGCATTTCGAGGATTGCTGGTAAGTGGGTTTCTGTTCTTTTGATCCCGATTTATGTTTGGTGTGGTCTAGTTTATTTTCAAAATAAAGATATAATAATTAATTGATAAAATTTTATATGTATTCTAAATTGATCAAGTAATACTATAGTTACAATTGCATGGATTGTAAACTTATATTCATAATATGGTATAAAATGAGTCTTGACTCGTGATTTGTATAATTAGATGCATATAATATTATGATATAAGGATGAATTGTAACATATAAATTTAGGTGAATTTATAACTATATCATTTTCGTTTTAATAGAAGGAATAAAGATACTAGGCTATGCTTTCTGTTCATTTGATCTCTACTAACCATTCATTACTGTATGGCATCACTTGGATTAATCATGTGAAAATTACAGGCCTTTTCACTTGGCGGTTTAGTTGTTTAGTTCAATGTCTTAATCATGTTTTTGTTGTATGACAATTTTATGGCATGACAATGTCAGGCAAGAAGGGCATTGAGAGCCCTGAAAGCAGTAGTGAGGATTCAAGCTATATTCCGTGGTCGTCAGGTACGAAAGCAAGCTGCTGTAACATTGAGGTGCATGCAGGCTCTTGTTAGGGTTCAGGCTCGAGTAAGGGCACGATGTGTGAAGGATTCTCTGGAAGGACAAGATGGGTCCAAATTATTGGATGAATACCCCAACAGTAACCTGTCCAAGCAAGCTGAGGTACACACGATTCTCTTATCATAAAAAATAACATATTTGAAATGTTATTTGAAATACAAAATGTTAATAATTAACAATTGGGTATCATCACAATTATCAGGAAGGATGGTGTGATAGCCCTGGAACCATAGATGAAGTTAAAGCTAAACTTCGGATGAAGCAGGAAGGTGCAATTAAGAGGGAGAGAGCAATAGTATACTCCTTCTCAAAACAGGTAATTAAGTGGACTAATACTGTTATTTACTTTGAAGTTAGCTAGATATTGGAAGTGTGAAAAAATATGGTTGAAAATTGAATTTGAATTGAGAATATGGTCAATGACTTTTTTGCTTTCTTTTCAGCAATCAAAATCATGTGCTAGCCCAAATATAAGGGAAAACAAGCCATCAATGCCTCTCAAGCATCACAGGCTAGATAAGAATGGTGTAGATTGCAGTTGGCTAGAACGTTGGATGGCAACCAAACCTTGGGAAACAAGGCTGATGGAAGAAATCCATACAGACCAAGCAGAGATGACCCAAATTCCCCGGAAAAGTGAAGATAACATTCTCAGCTTTCGACCACGCTCTTCTGAACAGGAGTCAGTGAAAGTAAGAAGGAATAATATCACAACCAAAATTATAGCTAAACCTCCTATAGCTAGTGAAATTACTGGCTCATCTTCTGCCCCAAGTTCTGAGTCCATGAATGATGAGAGCTCTCTATCCATTTCATCTACATCTATATCTCCAACTACAATGTCTAGCGGCGTTCTCATGGTGGACAGAGTAGGGGATAGTTATTACCAAAAACCCAGCTACATGAGTCTCACAGAATCTAGTAAAGCTAAACAAAAGGACTGGAGGGTTTCTTCTCCTTACGTGCAGAAGCACATGATGGATGATTTTCAGTTTCGTAACAAATCAATGACACTTTCTAATGGAGACATTAAGAACAACTCCAGTTCTGATCCATCATCCAATTTCTACAAGGATCTGTTCCCACATGTAGCATTGGGTAGACAGGATTGCTCAAGGAATGGAAGACACCAAAGTGTAAGATCTTCTAAAATGTGACAAAGTTTGTGTAAAATTTGTTTGCTTTCTTTAATAGTTCAACAGCTTGTTGCCCTTTTGAACTTTTGAAATATTTAGTGAAGTCTAGACACTAGACTGATCTTCATAGATAAGTATTAACACACGAAGAACTCAAAAGGCTTGGTCAGGAGATTTTACATATTTATAGTTCATATATTTGTGGTGTTAGTGATCAAACAAATGAAATATATTACAGTTTCAAGTCATGGTGAACATATTTTGTAATTGAAGATAAGTCTGCTTGTTGTGTCTAAGGAAGTCTTGACATTGATAAGCCAAAAAGGCTTCAATTGAGTGCGAGTGTGGTAAAAGTCGCATCCTTTTTGCTAATTTATGTTTGTGTTTTGGTTATTCAATGAAGATTGAAAGATTGTTATCTGTGGTAAAGCTCCTCTGGTTTCCTCTGAATTTCTCGATTTTGTACTGTTCCTATATATGGTGTCTCTGCCAAAATCTTGACTTGTATGAACATTTATGATCTCTCATATCCAATGCTTGAGCTCTTTTTCTTCAAGCTAATGCAACATGAAGAGCAAATAATCAAAATGTTCATATGAGGCCAAAATTTGTCCAGCTTCTTTCTTCTTTTGGTCTTAGGTTCAGGTATACCATATGAGAATAGTTTGTAAGTAACATTTAAGGCTATCTTTTAGGTCCAGTCAAAGAGAAAACCATTCACACTAGAATCGCAAACGTTCATGAGAAGATTACCTAGCAGATAGTAGATTGCAATAGGGAATTAGAAAGATTTTAGAAATATTGAACACTGTATACTTGCTTGGAAAATCACTCCCACCATCAATGAACCAACAGGACTTTCATATGCAGAATGAATGATCATCAGCCATAGGACATCTTACAATTATGTCATTAGCAATGATTAATCTGTACAAGATGCCTCTTAATCGAGTCAGATGCAAATCATATATAGATGGTGATTATACATGTGAAAACCATGGTCCTTGATCTTTATGGCCTCTCTATTTATGCTAGTTTCGAAAGGACCACACGGAGATATCACCATCATTCCTTCCTTCAATGCCATGAATCTTCAAGTCCTGCAATCTTTAAGCAACATGAAGATATAGGCATACCACAATCTTTTACCACGCAGTGCGGAGAATCTTTGAAAAAGAAAAGAAAAGTTTGTGGTAAAAGGGAGATGAGGGTAATAGGCAGCCCAACTTTGGACTCACTTTCAACTTGGACATTTAAATTTAAAATTTCTTTATCAAGTCTACTAACTTTATAATTAGTTTCTATTTTTATGGTATCCCTTGTCAAGAAATAGGGCTGTATATTCTAAAATCATGAACATGTAATATTAGTCTACTTTAGTCTTGATTGACAAAGTTAAAGATGAGAGACTGATATTAAAACGATTTGAAAGTTAGAGGACTCCCGTTGTCTTTTACCCTAAAAGAAATAAAATTCAGAGTTCCAAATAGACCAGGCTAGGAGATGGGTAGAGGGTCAGTTTCAGAAGTGAGGACACATTTTCAGAAGTTTTAGACAGTATCTCCAATTTGTTAAGTTCTGACTTCTCTGAAATGCCTGGACTGTATGTGCCACCAAAAAACACTGATGAAATCAAAAGCTTCCCATGTGGGAATGTGCACTAACAAATGAGAAAAAGAGATCAGGATGCTACCAAAAGCTGTAAAAATACATTTTATCTTAATGTTTCTTGATAAGATTCTGAAGTGATCAAGAAAGGAAAAGAGGGAGTGCAAGCTTTTCTTTAGTTTTGAGTAAAAAGGTAGACTTTCTTTCATGGGGGATTGCCATGAAGAGAAGGAAGGGCAGTGGGGGGGCATGTAGGGTCCCTTTAGAAGGGCTTTTTTTCTAGTAATATCCCCCTTTCTTTGTAGGACACACTGCATAGTTTGTTTCACTATCTTTAAGGGACTAAAAGTTTTCTTCTTCCTCCTCCTTCACATCTTCTTTCTCCTAGCAAATGTAAAGGGCTTTTGCTTTTCATTTTTTTGTGGGGTTTTCTTGCTGAAATTTTGTCAAGGTAGGTAGAACACTGGCTGCGAATGTGAATGCAGGATGAGGAGTTTACTTACCACATATGCAACATAATTTTTTCATGTTCAGCTCTTATAAAATGAAATTTAACCCAGAAAGATTCAAGTTTTTCAGCAATTATTCAACTTGGGGTGGGCCAACTATTATTTTAATGATTTATTATTCTCTGTTGGGAATTTCTGACTTCCCCACCTCTTCGATTTTCTGTTTCTATATATAGGAAAACCCAATTCATGTTTATTTGATCTCTTTTTGAAGAGTTGGGGAAAAATAAAATTGGTCATGGCAGCAAATAAGAAGAACAAAGAAGAAGAGTTAAATTTAGGTGAGTAGTTTATGGATTATTGTAAAAAGTTGCTCTCCCTTTATTATGACTTTTGGGCTTTTGAGGAAAGCAAAATGGATACAAATAGTTTTTTGGTTTTTAGAATGACAATGACTAGCACAATTGAATTTGTTAAAGTGAGAAAATCTCACATCGATAATTTAAAAGGAAACATATTAATCCGGTTGATTATAGGTTGGATGCTCATAAGATCTTCTTGCATTTCTAACCATAGGAAAACCAAATTTTCATTGAAGACAGGACAAAGAATCACCTGTGTACATACTTGTTTCTGTGACCTCTCCCTCAGAGAGTTGGGAAAAAAACAAATCTCTTCCTCAGCTCATGTACTCTGATGGCTCAACAAATAAAGCAAAAGAAGGCAGGGGCTATTAATTGTTGCATGTGCAACAATAAATCAAAGATTCTTGATTGGTCCTATCTATTTCTTCGATCACAAGCATTCCAAACCATTGCTTTTTTTTTCAAAAGCAAGAAGAAAAACCTAACCTAGAGATATACCTTGCAATTCCTCTGTTTCTACCATAGGGAAGAAAACTAATTAGAGACATTCACTTTAAGCATATAATTCTTTTATCCTTTTAGGCATTTGTTTTTTAATCTCTTTCCACTTGTCTTAACTTCACTCAAGACCTTAAACTTTGAATCTCAAGATTTTATACATTGAGATACAAATCAAGTTCAAGCCTCCAAATATGATAATTGAAACTTTACTTGGAATCGACCACTTTTGTATAAATGCCTACCTCCTAATAAATATGCTTTGCTTATTCCTCTTCATGAACATGTTTAGATTAGACTGATCTAATTGGTGTTAGCTACGCTGTTATTTTCACCATAATCAATCCTAATTAACCAACTTTCTAATGTTGACACCACAACTTATGATATAATTCAAAAGAAGATTTTTTTTTTCAAAGAAAATGATCTATGATTAACTAAAAACTCTTCCTCAGTTTAACAATGTCACCGCAAAATCCTAAGTTTTCTTAGTTAAATCCTAAATAAAGTCACTAATTACTTACTTCAAACACAAGATTCCAAGAAACTTGTTTTTTTATATCCGTCTTATGTATAGGTATTTACAAAGAAGATTAGCATAACTAATTTGGAATGACAAGCATAAAAGGGGGAAAAACAAGAAAACTTGCTAAAACTAATTAAGAGCTGTTTGATTGAAATAATGATCCTTAAAAGCATGAAAAGAAATGGACATTCTTAGATATGCACAGGAATAGTTGCTTTTAAAGTTCATATTCTCTTCAAAATAATGTATAGTCCCTCTAGAAAATGGTTTTGCTAAAATTAGTGACGATTTATACTGAGAAAAGGATGTTGAAGAATTTTTAGATGATGGGGTATTATGTTTGATTGGAAAATAATTGTGAATTGGCCAACTAACTAGGTATATAATTCAGCATTTTCCACTTAGAAAGGATGGAAACTTTTCCAATATATATGTATGCACTGATGTATCGAGGAGAGAGAGGAGAATTAGTAATTAGTGAAAGAAAGAAACCTTGATGAAGAAATTTGTAGGGTATGGTTGGGGTTTCTTTTAGAGGAAATTATAATTAATAATCATGCATTAATGATAATAGCTCATAGGGGACCCTGAAAATCTCCATATGAATCACCCCAAGATTTAATCAAGTAATGAAATGATTTTGCCTGCCTGTGCATGCTTAAGTTTGATTTCCGTTGCTAGTAGTGTCTCATAGATAGATGATTTTTTCCCCCAAGGAGGTCTTTCATCAAGTGGTTTAGAATTTAATACTTCAAATTAAAAATCTTGACTTTGAACCTTGGGACATGAGAAAAAATTAAGAGAACAAAAAAGTTATCATCTATTATATGGTACATCATCTCGTATATTAAAAGAATAGGTGATTTTTATTTATTTTTGTTTTGCTGACACAAAACATGATTAAATGATTTGAGGATTACATTTATGAATAGCTAATTCAATTCTTCACCTAAGACATGTTGACTAATATTACGAAGATAATCGGACTAACTTCCAAACAAGGCTAGGGATATGGCCACAGCTTATAATTTTAAGGCTACTAAAAATTGTAAAATATTATCTTTAAAAATATTGATTTTGTTTAATTTAATTAATAAAAATAATTAGTAATTATAATTATTAATTAATAACTGATATAATAATTAATATTTATTAGTTAACCAATTAAAATCATTTAACAAGCTGATATTTTCACGCACTATTTAAGAAAGAAAAATAAAAAATCAGTGATATTAATAACTGGCAATAACCAAACCCTCTAAACCTGGTAAGGTAAAATACTCTACCTTTTCCGCTCCCTTTTTTTTTTTTTGCCCAATTTTCCACGCCCTCTTATTAAATAGAAAATGTTAGCTAGCTTAATGACCTCAAATCATCTGAACCAAATGGCAGGGAAACAATTTCACTTTCATTTTCAAGTCACAAAATTTCTAGCCTATTTCTAATATCATCTAAATAAAAGAAGGTAACAAGCTTCTCGGTGTGAGATTTCCTTTGATTGCTAATGCTAAGGATTTAGTGATCGAATCTCTGAAAAAAAAGAAAAGAAAAAAAGAAACAAAGAAAAGTAAAGAGAAGCCTCTGACATGTCTATGATTACAATTCATCTTCATAATCATTGGTCTTCTTCATCATATGTTCTTATAATTTCTTGTAGTGCATGTCCCTGTCAATAAGACTTTGATCCAATGTTAAAGGAACTCAGGTGTCGGCAAAATTATCACATTCAGATTCTCCGTCAGAAATAATGGAAAAAGGAAGAGTTTCAACCATGATATATATTATCAATTAGTTGTGGGTAAATCTTTATCCATTTATATACACGTCGCTATTTTTTAAATGCCTAATGCTGCAAGTTTACCTCGTAGGTTTAGAGTTCAAACTTTGTAAGTATTAATTGTAATTTGTTTAGTTAGAGATTAATTGTATTAAAAAGGTGATTGAAAAATACTTTATAAAAAATTAAAAAGTATTATGGAAAAAAATTTAATAAAATTTTGTTAGGTTATTAATTTGTTTTATATTTAATAAAAAAATTAATATAAAATAAATTGAGAGAAATTTTTTTAAGTATAAAAAGGTTTATTATTTAAAAATTATATTAAAAAATAAAAAATAAAAATATTATTATTATTATTATTTTATTGTAATATTAATATTTAAAAATATATAAATAATTTTGTAAGAGGTAGTTATTGAAGGGAATATTTGCCAACGAAACAGGCCCTTAGTGCTTTATTGGAAAGGAGCAAGCATTGACTGCTGACCACAATTTAATCATAACAAGCTGAGGAAAAAAATCATCTTCTTGATGGGCCAACCAAAATTAATTTTAAATATCCCTCAATAGCGCCTGTAGATGTAAACACTCCAATGTCCCACTCATAAAAATTTCTAGCATAAAAGCATGTTGATTATCAGAATCTGCTTTTATCTTTGCTTATATTTTTCAGGGAAAGGGTGGCCACTCTTGTCCAGTGATATGACCAAACCAATTAAGTCCTATCTATAAAAAAAAAAACAAGAGTTGAGAACATTTTTCCGGATTTGCATAGAATTTAATTTCATGATCAATTGAATTAATGTTCCAATATTCATCAATGTAATTAATACCCATGAACGGAAGGAATTTTCAGCTGTGAGGTCAGTCCTTGAAATGAAAGATATTACCTCAATCACTAGCTACATCACTCTGTTTAGACTTCAAATTACTTAATTTTTATATCTAATAATAAACAATAAGATAGGAGAGTTTTTCCTTTCTCAAGATTCTCTTGTCTAGTTATCTCAAAATTTAAATTTGAAACTTTTAATATAAAAATTCAAACTCTTAACCATTGAAATATCCTGATATTACTTAATTAATTGGGCATACAAATCCATGGTGTTATTTGGGTTCTTTCTCAAAAAGAGTTCTTTAATTTTCTTTCTACCCCTTTAATTTGGTATAGACAATGATTGCTTTACCCTTTAATTTAATACATTTCATAATACATTTATTAAAAAAGTATCATTTTTAAATTTAAATTCAAGATGAGAAAATTTTCAATTACAAAATTTAATGACTAAACTAATGGGTGTCAACAGATATATTGAATCCAATGGTATATCAATTATTATCTATTTGGTATTTATGATACACATTATGAACATAATACAAAAAAAAAAAAAAAACTAATATTGTTGACCATGATACTATTGACCAACAGGACAAATAATTCCAAACAGATCAAAATTAGCAAATACAATTAGAAGAAGTGCTGTTGAGGATACTATTTCCTGGTAAAAATTAAGACATTAATATTGTTGAAGAGTTAACCTTAGTTAAAGTAAAGGAGATCAACAAAGTTAAAAATGCACATGGTCCACCATCTTATTCCCCAGCCTTTTTCTTTATAAACTTTTTTGGTCAAGCTTTACGACTAGCCTATATAATGTACTTGATATTCCATTTCCATGCATGATATTCCAGATATAACCCTAATTGGCACAAGAGAAATACCCAATAAAACATGAGTAAAAAAGATGATTCTCCCAGTTGCTAAAATCCACTTTTATGGGAGAATATTACAGGACCTAAGGTGGGGCAACTTTAAATCTTACTCAACTGATAAATTTTTTTTTTTTTAATTTGAACAGATAAAAAAGAGTGTCAATTTGAACTAGAAATGACTGCAAATGATAATTAAAGGGCATTATCATCATTTAGTCCAAACTAAAAAATATTATATTAAACACCACATGACTGTATGATCAAAAATGAAAATTTCAGGTAGGGTTTATTACATAACTCCATGCAAAAAAAAAAAAAAAATGAAATTGGAGATTTTGAAAGTTCCAGCCAGCTCATGCATGATCATGAATCATGGTGGGGTCAGAAAACTTCAAAACTGGGACCTGTAGTCCAAGCCAAAGGGACCCACAAACCTGCATGGATGACACGTGTACAATGCAGCCCCACGCAGTGCCTTCCTGAATGGAGGATCCCTTTATAATTGCCATACAAGCCCTTACAAGATGACACTGCAGATTTTAGCCTTTTGCCCACAAACCCTAACTGGGCCACCATGTGTACAGCTTCCTACATTAATTCACAAATCCTCACTGTACCTTCCTCTCCCCTCATACATGCACTCCCTCTCCTCTCTCACATTTCCTTGTAATCCATTTCTTCTAGGGCTTTGTCATTACTGGGAGAAGGAGACGAGACTCAGCCTTTCTGATTGCTCTACTTCACTTTCCTTACTTTTTCCTCACTTTCTAAAAAATTCCAATCCTGCCAAAGTCAGAGAGGCGAGAAATGGGGCACCACTCGTGTTGCAACAAGCAAAAGGTGAAGAGAGGGCTCTGGTCACCCGAGGAAGACGAGAAACTCATTAACTACATTACCACCTATGGCCATGGCTGCTGGAGCTCCGTCCCTAAACTAGCAGGTTTCGAGTATATTCGTTGTGATTTCTCTGTTGCATTGTTATTATATCTTTCTGAGTTGTTTAGAAACAAAAATTACAAATAAATTTGATTCCAGTGTTGATTTTTTCTCTCCTTTTCTGACTGTTTGCGATATCGCAGGCCTGCAGAGGTGTGGAAAGAGTTGCAGATTAAGATGGATAAATTATCTAAGGCCTGACTTGAAACGAGGAAGCTTTTCTCCCCAAGAAGCAGCAATAATCATTGAGCTCCATAGCATTCTAGGCAACAGGTATAAATTACTGATTTATCTAAATTATTTGAAATTATGATTTTAATCGTTTTTCCATGATCATTTCATCATAGTATTTCCATGTTCTTAAAAATAAAAATCCTCTATAGGTGGGCGCAGATAGCCAAACATCTTCCGGGAAGAACAGATAATGAGGTGAAGAATTTTTGGAATTCAAGCATCAAGAAGAAGTTGATGTCACACGATCATGCTCCGGCATTAACCTCCGTTGCCGACGTTCGCAACCCTATTCCGCAAGAGGAAGGTTTCTTCACCTTAAATGGAAACCCTAATTTGATCCTTTCTCAACAGGACCAGCTCTACCCTTCCTCCCCCACTCCCATTTTACAGAGCTTTGCACATGGAGAGTTCAAGCCAAATCTGAACAACTATAACATTGATTTCATTAATCATTTCCCGGTTCCGATGATCCCACCACTGTCCAATCCACCTTCCTACGATCCCACAGCATGGTGTTTGTCATACGTCCCTCAAAGCCTTAACCAGAATCAAGAAGATCAGGATCAGACTTTTAGCAACGAACTAGCCACCAATATTTTCGGCGAAAAGTTCATCAATCCAACCGTCGCCATAACCACACCTTATGATAATAATCCACTGATGGCGGCAGCTTCAGTGCCTAAACTCTGTGAAATCCTTGAAGGAAACGTCTGCAGTCTTTCTCCGGCCGCATCAGTTTCACTAGAAATCGATCCGCTCCCATCCAAACTCTCCTGCTTTCCATCTGGGAATTTTCCACATGACCATCCCCAAATGGAGTATATTGATCCCAACATGGCATCATCACTGCCATCATGTTCCTCATTATCAGCATTATCAGGCAGGCCATTCACGACGAACCCCAATCTTCCTTCTAGCAGCTGGGATCCATAGACATGTGAACGTGTGGAATTTTGTGGTGGATGACTCTCAGCAAGGTACTATCCATGATCAATGCATTTATTTCCTTGAAATTTATATATAAATATGGATATATCAAAAAAAAATGAGAGTGCAACTATTGTGGAAATTGAGGAAACCTAAAAGTTGCTAGTTCAGGTTATATTTCAGTAAATAATGCTCTCTATATATCTGTTCTTCTGATGTTCCGTAAATAAGTTAGCTTCATTCGATCATATATGTGTAATTTAAATGGTTATATATATTTCTCTAGCTAGAGAAGTTCTCTATAATACTACTTGTTTATATTAATTGCAATTGGCGTCTGCTACTATTCTCTTCCTTGATCCTTCTCCCTTAATTTGAAGGTATATTGAATTGAAATGACAGGTTCATAAGATGTTGTGAAGATTTAAGACAATCTCTTTATAATAATTCTTGTGGGGAAATAACAGTCCTTGTTTATAAAAAGACATAAAACTGTTAGTGGACATATGAATATTAGTTACATTTTCGAGAGGAGTATGATCCAGTCTCTTTTTTTTTTCACATATAGATATATATATATATATATGAGATTAGTGTATATTGTAAAAGATTAGGCAAAAATGTTATAAGATTACATTTTTTTAATAAAACACTAAAAAAAAAAAAAAAACAGTTTCATTTCTATTTTTAAAGTTAAGATATTTTAATATTTTTTAATAAAATTTTATTAAAATGATATAATTTTATGATTTTTTTACTTAATTTTTTGTAATACATATTGATGCACTCTTTTCCATGTATATATATATGTGTGTGTATATATATCAAGAGTCACGAGGAGATTTGAATATAGGGATTTTTAGAGCTTCAACAAGTCCTTTATTGATCACTAGATCAATGTCTTATTGACAATTTACGTTGTTTTCTAATTAGCATAATGTATTTGACATAAATAATCACTTGTGGCTTTATACAAATGCAACCAACCATATGATGACAACAAAAAGAATTCACATGGCGTATTGGCATGGTATTTTATAGTGAGGAATGTAACTCGGTGAAATTATGCGCTTCCTAACTACTACATATATTTTGCATTTTTTATTTTTGTAGGTGCTGATGGTACATATATAATTCCAACATATTTAGCTTCAAACTGGTATCAAAGTGCCATAATAAGCTAAGAAACTAGTGTCTTTTGTTTACCAAGTAACCTATATTTTTACTAAGGAAAAATTACTTCAGGGAAAAGGGATTTTGAAGGGTAATTAGGAAGAAACTTGAGTTCCGTATAATATGAGTTATACTCGAATAGAATGAACATGATTTTGATGGCATCTGCTAGGACATAGAAAACATTTCTAAAAGCTTTCATAATAATTGGAGTAAAGCCACAGACAGTGGGTCAAGCTGTTTCGAGTGTCGTAGCTCTCTTAAATGGTGGCTCAGCCTTCCTCAGTACTGGACCACTTGTTTGATCTCAGCAGAAGACCAGCATTAATTGTTGAAAACTATTTCCTGAATGGAACCACACTCCTTGAAGACACTGTAGAAGTAAATCTATCATTATTTGAGAAGGGAGATGACATGGTTCTTGCAGAAAATATTTTCATGGACATTATTCAGGATTAAGACGTCATATTGAAAACCAGAATGAAACATTTTTGGGGAGAAATCCGGA